TTATAATGTCGAATTGACAAAACAAACAAACAATCTTTTCGAGGTATCCGGGTAGCCGATGTCAATTTCAAACCCATTTTTGAGACAAGCAATAAAAAACCCATTAAAGTGTTACATTTTATTTGCGTCCCTCGTGTTTCGAAAAAGTAAAGTGACACACGATACACTCGAGAAAAGATGAAAGATCTGTTACAAAATAAATTTGAAAATACACATATTCTTTTAAAGCTTTTAGGAGATATATTGAGTTTCACGCTACGTTCATCTTGAACGGTAGCCGATGTAACTCTAGCCTGATATATATAATAACTTTCGCAGTTTAATGGCAAATAAAACCAATGGTTCGTCGCAGCGCGTGAAATTTGTATGAAAGTACATTTTCATTAAAATAAAGATATTTACTTGATGTTGGATTATAAATTGGTTGATTGATATATATTTTGATATATTTGGCATTTTTTAAATACAGACAAGGAGGCAAAGCTCTGTTAAGAAAGAAGTTGTGAATAAATGCCAACTGATGGAATTCTATTCCAAAAAAATGAAAAAATGTTGGTTAGTACTACATTTCCCATGAGAAAATTCAAGGCTACGGCTAAACTTTGCCGTTTTTAAAAATTTTAAGAGCCTATGCCAAAACGCAAATAGAAGAATAAATATTTGTAAAGTTTTTCTATACAAAATCCTCTATTAATTATAATATATATATATATATATATATATATATATATATATATATATATATATATATATATATATATATATATATATATATATATATATATATATATATTAATATAGGTTGATGAAAAGAATGACATTTAAGATACAATTGAAAAATAGCATCCCATTTAGCTTACTTCTTTTAACTTATAGATTTCATCGTGCAAAATAGTGCCCCCCCCTTTTTCTTTGACCGATACCGATTTTTCTAAAGTTTTTTTTATCATTTTTTTTACAATTTATAGTGATGATTATATATATATATATATATATATATATATATATATATATATATATATATATATATATATATATATATATATATATATATATATATATATATATATATATATATATATATATATATATATATATATATATATATATATATATATATATATATATATATATATATATATATATATATATATATATATATATATATATATATATATATATATATATATATATATATATATATTAATATAGGTTGATGAAAAGAATGACATTTAAGATACAATTGAAAAATAGCATCTCATTTAGCTTACTTCTTTTAACTTATAGATTTCATCGTACAAAATAGTGCCCCCTTTTTCTTTGACCGATACCGATTTTTCTAAAGTTTTTTTTATCATTTTTTTTACAATTTATAGTGATCGTTTCGGTTGTGTAGTTCACAAAGAGTAAATTTTGAATTATTCCCCATACATAATATTATTGACAAGGATGATCTGACAGACATCAACCTCGCGTCTTTTGTTTAACCGCTTTGCTGCAAGGGAAAACAACTCCACACACTGATTAGGAAACCTAATATTGTAGGTGGAAGTACAAATGTGGCGACATTCGTAAAAATACGGTCTTCCATATAACCCCCTCATTAAGAGATGATATAATGTGTAAGTAAAAATATATATCAACGGAAGTGACAGTTTCATGAGTAGGGACAACTTTGAAAATACACACAATATCATAATATAGATAGAAAGTGAAATACTATAATCAAACATAAGATAAACAAAAAAAAGAACTCTGTTACACTCTGGAAATAAAAAGCTACACTGTGGAAATATTCAACTCAATTCAGATTACGTATTCTTCTTTAAATTTGCAGCTTATTTAATACCGTTAGAACAAGTGTTCGTTTTACTAAGTTTGCAAGCTGGGCACCCAATCTGAATTTCAAATCTCTGATGAAGAACCAGTCAAGTTGACACGCTGAAATAATTGGAAATATGGTCGTATTTGTGGATGTAGCAACAGAACCGTAAACATTACTGCTGAACTTTTTGCCAGTTCCTTCTAATAAACTGACTCAGGGCGGGCCAAAAAACTACACTCCAATATGCAAAACTGTAATAGGACCAAACTACCACATGGCTTAATTTTAACTTTTTTGGTCACAGCGTTCTTATGTATATATGTATGTATAAAGTTTAGCGTACCAATTTTGAGATAATCGATCCATCGATCCATAGGCCTAGATTTCTAGGGGAGTCAGACAATTTTAAACAAGGAAAGCAATAATATAATTAAAGGGACCAACATACTACCTTGGAGAACTCACCTATCTACTATTAAAGTAAACCATAAATTTAAGGAATCTGCACTGGGGTCAGTCCTAAGCTGTACTCCAAATTTTGTTTCGCTATTGATGCAAAAAGCTATAAAATTCCTAAGCCAACATCAGTTCTCGATTTCCTATATATGGTGAGGGCCTTATTCCGTAGTCTCAATAATAGTTTGGAATTATCTATAATCCATGGAGCAGGTATTTTTTTATGAGTACAGTTCCTTCCTATTGACCGTGTCCCAGTGAATGCTATGTATGGAGTTATTAATTGATGGTAAATTAAAATATCTCCGCACGTAGTAAAAAGTAGGTGTTTTTTTTATTAAAGTTTTGTTGAGAATGTCATCCATTCTTGGACTAATAGCATTGTTACACATAGATGTCAGATTCATCTATGTGTAACATTAGTACGTCCGGTGCCCTGTCAGACTCGAGGCGGCTCAGATATAATTTCATACAACCCATATTCACACATGTCACTATTGAAATCAGTGCCGAACACAACAAAGTCATACCGGATAGGCTCCAAATAAAAAATAAATTTGCAAAATAATAATAATTAAAAAAAAGCAATTGATCCGAGTTGTTCACAAAAGAGCATTTTATGAATATTCATAAGAACAATTTCTTTTTAGAGAAAAAGAGTTTCTACCACTTTTTAACTTATTTGAAGCAATACTTTAGCAGTAACGACTTGAAAGTTGGTAGTTGATATGCGAATAGCATAATCAAATAGAATTTCATATTTTTCAGCTCATTGAAAACTCCGGGGAATCTTATTGAACCCGTGTACAATCTGAGTTGTTTACGATGCCTGCACAACATTTTCCGAATTGAGTGTTTTCCCAATGGAACTCTCTCCATGCAGACCTGACCGGCTTCTGGTAGTGTGAACGGTTTTAAAAATGCCTTGGACAGACATTTGTTGTTAATTACCCATGTGTATACGATTTTCTAAGAGTTACATAGAAAATGCATTTTTTTTCTGCGTTTAGTCTTATATAATAATAATAGCAATAACTAGAAAATGGGGACATTTACAAAGTATGAAACAAAATCTATTAATTTAATTTTAGGTAAAATTGACAAGAATTAAAATTTTCCAAAAAAACCAAGAACCTCGACTGCAAAGAAAATTTTGTAAAACAAAGACTCGGTTTTTGATTTGGATTTTGCTGTTAGCAGTGGTGTATGCGAAATAAACTAAAGGGCACGATGATGAAAATCGTTGTCTATGATTTACACAAATTCCAAGCGGGGGAGTCCTGTTAGCATTTTAATATCCTCTTTGCTTTGTACCCCGGATTTTAATTAAATTAATTTCCGACATACTGCAAATTTCGTCGAGGTAAAATCTTTAATAAAATTTGTAATAGGTTGCACCGCGGGCAATCTGGTGAAATTGACGATCAAAAATGACTGTCAGCTTATTAGTTCATTTTATATTTTACCAGTTTTACTCTATTGATTTTGAATGGACTTTTTTTTGTCGAACGAAATTAAATGCATTGTGAGTTTATTCCAGCAGGATAGTAACAGACAATAGTAGTTTTAACAGTTATGTTAGGTGCTTGGTTACGTAATTTTTTAATTTCTTCGGATTTGGGATTTTTTGAGAGTTGAGTGGACTCTTTTAACTTTTGGTTGCGTGGAATTATACCTCATTTGTTAATAGGCATTTTCTGCTTATTTTTATTAGATTTAGAACATAGAAAAGGCCCATTATTTTTAAGTAGCTTAGAGTTTTGTATATTTTTATTTTATTACTTGGGGAGATGCTTTTTTTTATTGTTTTGCTTCCCGTTGACATCTTACCCCAAGAGTATATAAGCTCGTTATGAATACAGCAACAACCCCCATTTTGTTTTCTTTTTAAATACTATTCACACTGAACCCTTTCCCTTTCTGTATTTTCAAACCATTGATATATAACCTTCTCACTACTAATTGCTGCGTCACTTTCGATCGTTGTTTTCTATGTTTCTTTATGCTGTTTTCTGCATGGCTAGGCTTTTGTCGACGATATATCGAAAAAACGGAAATGAAAAAATGTCCTTTTAAAATACGACAAAAGATCTGATCGTAAGTGTTCATAAGCATTTTCTACATATTTTCAGGAGAGAACGTGAAAGGTACCCAGCATAAAAAAGTAACAAGGATTTCACCGACTCTTTCATTGTGCTTTCAAATATTGTTCACCACAACATACGTAACTATCTTCACTTTCTCAAATTAATGATATGTAAAGATCCAATGGACGTCCGTTTTTGGCCTATTTTAAGTTTATGGTTGTTTCATGGACGTTCATGATATATGATGTGATGACTGTACTATGGATATTAACAGGCTAGTTTTTCTGTCTATCACTTTATTCCCTGTATCACGAAAAATGTCATTTCGAAGGAACATATACGAAAATATAAAATGTGTAGTTTTATAAATCGTACCGAAGGATAAAAAGATGTTTAACGGGGGTTAATTTTCGTTATAATGGTGAATATTTTATGAAAAAAAAGTTTTTCGCGATTGAAATAATCGAACCAAGCAAGCCCAGATTTCTAATCATGAATGAACATAAGTGGTGTGGTATCGTGTCGCTCTAATTTAGCGTTTTATTTAAATGGATTCATTAACTTTATCGAATTTGATTAGCAGATAAAACACATTTAAAATTATATTGGATATTGTGTCATTTGTTAGTGTTCTTAGATATTTTGTAATTCTTAGATCGACGACCGTTCTAAAACCATGGTGGACTATTCCGTTGTCAGTGTTTTAACAGGTAACTGATCATTTTTTAATCACTTATCCACTAGTTAACGTGATAGTTTTCGATCGAGCGTTTTAAAAACGTTTTTGTTTATATGGATAATTTTTATGCGTGGATGTTCTACATTTCGATCGATTATCTCATCGTCCACGTACCGATTGTATCAGATTTTCTAAGCACGTCGATAACTGAACACAATATGGCTGTTAAAAAAACAGATAAAATATAATATACGTTTTTGCTTCGTCGAGAATGACATAGCGATTATAACTTGCTTAATTTTCCAATTTAAGGCTACGCGGTGGTGTTTATAGCCTGCGCGAGCATGTCCTGGCCGTCTCCTGAAATACCAGCACTAAATTCCAGCACTTCGCAACTCGATAGCGAGTTGACGACTGAAGAAATCTCGTGGATTGCGTCCTTCCTCGGATTGGGAGCGATCCCCGGACCGTTTATATTCGGATTCTTGGCGGATCACGTCGGTAGGAAGTATTCCATCCTCTCCTTGAGCGTTCCCCTGACGTTAAGCTACCTTCTAATGCTATTTACCAACAAAGTAATCTATTTGTATATAGCGAGGTTCGTTGTCGGGACGGCAGTGGGAGGTGTGTTTACGGTGTTGCCCATGTACGTCGGGGAAATGGCACTGGATCGCCACCGAGGCATCCTGGGAAACGCCATGACCACCTTTTTGTGCCTCGGACTTTTGTTTTCATACGCGGTAGGTCCTTACTTGAACTTTTTCGACTTTAACGTGATGCTGGCCGCCTTGCCGGCGGTTTTTCTCGTGGTGTTCGCGGTTGTCGGCGTCGAGAGCGCCCACTATTACATGGCGAAGAATGACCGAGCCTCCGCTAGGGCGGTCCTGCTAAAAATCAGGAATGTAAGCGACCAAGAGGTCGAAGAAGAATTGGAAAACATTAGACATCTGACGGATAGCGAACGAGGCGGAAAGCTGTCGGATATTTTCAAGTCCCGGGGGCTAGCGAGAGCGCTGTTCATGACGCTTGGAGTGATGGTTTTTCAACAGCTTGCCGGCATAGATCCGTTGACGGCTTACTCTGAGCAAATTTTCGACGAGGCCAACACCTCGATCCCCGCGGAAATTTGCGCAATAATGATCGGTTTGGTTCAGTTCGTCGCGAGTTTCATAACTCCGGCCGTCGCCAACCGGTTCGGTCGAAAGACCCTTTTGATATTCTCAGCCGTCGGAATGGCCGTGTCGGAAGCGACGTTGGGCTTGTATTTCATTTTCAAAAATCGTTCGGTGGACGTCAGTTCCGTGAGTTTCTCACCGGTTTTGTCCCTCGTGGCATACTACGTATTTTTCAATTGTGGGTTTGGATCGATTCCGTTCACAATTGTCGGTGAGATATTCCCGAACAATGTTAAATCCAGTGCGGCAGCTGTGAACACCAGCCTTCGGTGGCTGGTGGGATTCCTGATGACGAGATTCTTTCGAAATTTGGTGGATCTAATTGAAGTGGGTTGGGTTTTTGAACTCTACGGTTTGATGTGTGTGCTCGCTGCTTTCTTTATCGGTTTCGTGGTTGCCGAAACGAAGGGAAAATCGTTGAAAGAAATTCAAGACCATTTGAACAATTAGTATCTATTCTGGAATTACTGTGCGGAAAGTACGCTGCTCAATTTTTAGTGGCCTTTTATATCGATTTTTCATAGCCGATGTGGTTTGTTAACGTAATTCTTCTAGTGGCGTCGCGGAAAAACTTTTTTGTATTTTGCTGATGTTATATTTCGTTTCTTAATGCGAGAGAGTAATAAAATTTAAATTTGCCATGACAAGGACTGTAATAAACAGAGGGGCTGATAGTGGAGATATTAATTATTTTCAGATGAAGTAAATAAAAACTGTAATAAAAAGTCGTTGAAGTTCAGAGTAATATTAGGGGGGTCTGCGTTTTTTGGCATGTTATTAATTCGATGCACTTACTCCATTTTTCACAATCGTTTGTTCAGGAGGATTTGAAGGTAATTTTAAACGTGCTTTTCCATGCCTTCTCCAAGAATGATTTTCGATTTTTGGTAAAGAAACTTCATTCATTTCAAAGTTTTGCACCATTTCTTCTTACCCATGGATGGAATGAAATAATCATTTTTCATTTCAGACCTTATTTTGTCCAAGGTAGGTATTTTCTTAAAAGTGTATTTATCACAGTTCCTTTTATTTCTGTGATTGTTTTTGATGAATTGATGGGGCCAGGTTTATCTTCTTGCACAAGTCGCTATTTTGCTGACTGTCCAACTCCTGTTATATTCGAACACATTAAGAATAATAATTTTTTCATCATTAGAAAATCCCCTTTTCAACAACAAATTAGCAAACATTTTGCCAAAAAGTTCCAGAAAGCATAATTCTATTTTTAAACACTACAATACTATACCTATTGAACACTGCTAAGACTATTAAGTTTTACAGTTCAATAATAATTTATAACTCCCTCGCATTAAGAAAGAGATCATCATAGGTACGAAAAAAATACATTTTTGTTGGATTTTACGGTACCTCGCTTTAACTTTTAACTCAAAAAAGAAGCTAGGTAATTTGATGAACTTTAATTTAATTAATTTTTCGTAAGGATGCGTGATTTTTTAAAGTTTTGGTTAGCATATTTTATTATTTTTTAGTCATGTATTACCAAGTGTAGTTCCAAAAATCCAGAATATTCAAAAACATATGGAATTAATGGTTTTGGAAAGTTATTAAGCTATCGTCACATAAATTGATTTTTTACAAACCCAGCTTAGATAAAGCCCATCAATTTCTTCATTCAATTCAATTCAAGAAAATGTCTTTACTTCACGGTAGATTTATAATCTGCGAGATCCCAGTGGTAAGAGTAAAATTAGAAACACCCGGTATATACACTTTTCGCCCTAAGAATTGGGTCTTGAAGTTTGGTCAAAGTGGTAAAGAAACTGAGGGTGGTTGCTCGCTTTTTACAACTAAATTCAAATTTTAAGCTATACTTGAGCTTAGTTATTGTTAAACTCATTTATTTTATTTTGCAATATATGAGTTTTTCTCAAATGTGCAGGTACACTTTTTAGATTGTATTTATTTACTTTGTTTTGTATTGTTATTAAATTTTTCTTATTCGTTTATTGATTTTATTAGTTTTGGTTAGTTAAAAAGTAGCAAAGTTATTCTTCACATCTTTCATCAATACCCGTATAGTTATAATGGAGTCAAAAATCATAGTTCGTGTTCTAGGAAAACGTCGAAAGGTAAGTTAAAAAAGAAAAAAAGAAACGATTTACAAATCTTCTGGCTTCCTCCTGCGTCAGTTGTTGATGAATTGAATTTACTTACGTTTCTCCAATCATCAGCTTAACTAAAACTGGCTCGCATTCTACTCTGTACCTGCTTATATATTATATGAGGAGGGCGGAGCTAAAGGAGGGGCATGAAGAATTGATTATATGCAAGAATTTCAGTTTTACCGAATAAAATTTTATCATTTCATGTTCGGTTTCGTGATTGTTTACAGCAAATTCTGATGAATTTATTTATTAATTGCCTCAGTCTTAAGACTCTTCTAGTTGATATTTTTAGTCCGGTCTCTCAAATGTATTTTGCCGCATATGCATGGAATGCTGTAAACTCCTGGTATCTCAAACGGAATTTTGTCTTTGACAGATCGAAGATGTTAAGAGATTTCTGGACAAGTAGTAAAGCTGGTTTTGATATTATATTTCTTAACAACTTTTATTATGTATTGAGTAATGTTCTGAAAGTAAGGAAGCACAACAGTGGCCAGTGTGGGTTTCATTTTGGACTTTTTTTACTCGAAAAACTAAAATTCTTGCGTATAATCATTTTTTCTAACAACAAAAAGTCGAGAATCTATAGAAATCTATAATCAACCAAACATTCTTAACCGCGACTCAGGTCTTTAACTTTCACTAATTTGTGTGAGATGGGAAACTGGGGATATTAAATATGGTTTGTTATACTTCAATGAACATTTAGTTTACATAACTAAAATACTTCTTAAGTATTCGATAATTTAAAATTTGATTACATTATGATAAACTTCAATTTACTTAATAGCATATTGTGCAACAAGTTTGGTAAACGCCATTTGAGTCACGAGCTTATTTGGCATGAGCGGAACGCAGCGGAGCGAATGTTTAATAAACGAGTGACTTAAAAAGTTTCCAAACGTGTTGCTCACAATACTTTTTCTACGATCGTTAGTTTTGGCGCGCATTCTTACAAAAAAACACGAAGAAGGGAGTAAAAAAAACCTTAAAGTTTTAGTATTATACTGAAACTCCCACTTACTTTGGTAGTAGAAGCCAACAATGGCAAGGGAATCTATATAAGAAATGCAACTTTTATAAATTTTCCTTTTTTGGAATATAAAAGTCATTTTGAAAAGTAAAAAACTATTTTGAAACCTTGTATGCTGTGCTCAACAGCGTGAATAACGATTTATACAAAAACGCCATTATCAATTCCCGTTTTCGTTTGACGTTTTTAGATTGTATTGTATCAAAGACATCACTTCTCTCGCAGAACTTTCATTGACAATACAATATACAATCCAACAAATTGTTGGGTAAAATGCTAAAAGCTTAGACATTGTTAAGCGAAAAACTTGTAAATAACTTTGCAAAATTTTACGTTAAATTGTTAATTGGTAAGAAACTAGGTCTGGTCATGTAATTTTATATTGATGAAAATAATGTTACCTTGATAATCAAAATTGATACTACTTCTACCATCTACATAAAAAAATGGTGCTCTATTTATTGAAGCTAATTATAGCTGGTGTGGAAGCTGCTATTTTGGAATGGGGGTTACGAGTAAATGATAAGTGACTGACATCAAGCAATCTGAATGAGACTGCAATACATACGACATAGAAACTCGCGACCTGTTATTTGGTTATGTGGCTCTGAGTCATAAATCCGGAGAAAGATTGTGACAACAAATTCAGCGTTGGATAAACTGGTCGATCCATGGGATTCTTAAAATGCGTCGATATAACCACATGTCAAATGACTCGATTCTTGTACAGGCAGCCTCAGTTAAAGTCCAGGATTCCACCCCGTAGAGTAGCACTGGAAAGACATAGCACCCCAATAGCTGATCTTAGTAGGCAGTGATAGACCATGGCATTTAAGTAGTTTTGCCATTTTCAGAAATGCGGCTCTGGCCCTCTCTAATCTGCATTTGATCTCCAGAGAGTGATCCCACGTTTCACTTATTTTGGTTCCGAGATAAAACAAGTCTGAACTCGCTCTCTATACTGGTTATCTATAGAGAGTTGGCCAACATGGTTGTTGGTTTTTGACACAACCATATATTTTGTTTTCTTAAAGTTCAGAGAAAGCCCGTATCCGTCACTGACCTCGACCACCTGAACCATCATCTCTTGGAGAATTTCTAGGCTATTAGCAAACACTACCGTGTCATCTGTGTATCGTATGTTGTGTTGCACATTATCAAAGGCGATATGCTACCACTGGATAATAAAGATCCAGTGGATGCACATAGGATAGACAACCACTTGAACCATTTTTAAACATTTGTATCCCAAACGACTAATATTTTGAAATAATCCTTGTCGTAGATTGATCAAGTGATAACCCTGGCAAATATATGTATACCTGCATACCCGTTCCAAAAGCAAATAGACCCCGTGTACCTAAACTAAATTTAAAATCATTTAATCACGGAGTGGGTGGCAGCTTTCGTCGAGTTTATGCCAATTTAAAAATGAGGCCGTCCAAACGTAACACTTACTCCAAATAACAATTAATCAATGTCGGCGAAAAATTAAATCAAGAGCTTTTTCCGCCGCGAAGTTCGAATCCGATTGATAAATTAGGTTATGGCCCCGATAACATTCGCAACCCCGCCGTCCGCAACATTTGAATACAAATTCGACGGAAATTTTGTTTTCGGTGCAAACATTACGAAAATTACGAAAAATAAGCGCGAGCGGAGCGTGAATACGTTTATTGCGATGTCGGCCGATAAAAGAATTTAATCTGGTCAAACCAGCGGCAGCGATTTGACAACTGACGTCATTAACCCAAACATCAACGTTCCACTTACATTTTTCTATTTGTGTTATTCAAAAAGATAATAGTTATAGTTGGTTTATGCTTAGCAGTTGTGTTTGTTAGTTGTGTGCATAATTTAATTAAATGTTAAGTACTTGCTTTACGTTTTTATTTCAGTATCATAAGTGTATTATTTGAAATTGCTATTTTAATGCTGTTTTATAATTTTGAATGGATTACGTCGCTTTGTCAGTATTTAACAACTTTAGAAAAGATTAAAGATTAAAGATTAATGATGGTCAGCATCGAAAAGGAGCTACGAGTCGCTTTCTCCAACAACAGGCATTACGAAACAGAAAATGTACTGCTTTAACCTTCAGGAAAAAATAAATTACAAATCACGCAGATTAAATTCGCGAGACACCATGCATATTGGAGTGGGGGTGACTGGAAGGGAGTTTTGTTAACAGATGAAACTTAAGTGATGATCGTGCTGCAGTATGGTGCATGAAATAGATTTTATGGTTGTATTATATCTGTAAAGGAGCTATTTAGTGGTGGTTCGAGGTC